GAGTAACTCCCTTTGATTTTTTTTGTGTGTGAATTACTTGGGATGTTGCCGACATCTGGTGTGAATTTCTTGTCTGTTGTCCCATTGGAAATATTTTAACCAAAAAAGAATACTTAACCTCTTTTACATGCTGTAATCTTTATAATATTGTTTTACTCTTCTCCTGTGGAAAGTTTCTTTGGGAATGAATAAAATTGTGCTCGATTTCTTAACTAAGTGAAGAAATAGACTTCAGTAAGACACCTTGCAGGTCAGTTGTCAATTTACATTCTAGAAAATGTAATTTTGACAAGTTAGTCATTTTCCTCTGCTTTGTCACACTTTGCTTTACAAGGTTTCATTTGTACCAACTTTCTACTTTTAAATATCTGTTACCTTTTTAGTTCATTTCATTGCTAATTTTATTTAGTTTATTAGACAATTAATTTACACATAGGAACCAAGAATACAATTTTGACTTTGAACTCCAAAAAGCCATTCCAACACAAAACCAAAGAAAAACATGATGAAAAAATCTGAGTGTCGTGGCCATTTATGTTAAATTTTGTGAATTATAATTTGTAACAATTTAGTTTCTTTTTTGGGGAGTTAGAATTTATTTAAGTTGATTTAGAATTGACATTTGTAAGAATTTTGTATTTGGAATTGTTTAGAGTAAGACTATGTTAATTGTTAGACCCTCCCATTAATTTGAGTAATTAAAAACACACCCGGTGTTGGGTGAGGCAAAGAAAAATTTGTTTGGTAAATGTCTGGTGTGTTGAGGGGAGGTTGAAAAAGATTTTTTGACCACTTTTCTGGAGCATTTTGTTTGACACCTTTTTTAAGATTAATTTTCATTTTGACTACATTTTAAGACACTTTAATTATTATTTTTTTGTCATTATTTTTTCCAAGAAATAAATTATATTTTTTACAAACATTGAAGAGGTGCGTTCAAAATCACCGCCTCTTAACACCCACGGCCTTAGATGGAAATTTGGATTTTTTTGGAAAATAGAAGGCCGTGACATTTAAGTCAAAAAATCATTATTTTTTTTTGGAGCTGTTTTTTGGAAATTGGAAAAGATTGAAAGAGTGGACAATCGCACTTGGATGGAATGAACTTGGAGAAGACGCACAAAGTTGTGAGTAAATGCAGTTCTTTGTTGGAAAGAGCAGACACGCTGATCTGCAAAGTGAAAAGTTTGTTTTGGACAATTTTCTTTTGGATTTGGAGAAACAAAATTTAAGTTGAAAATGGAGGAACGAGATTAAGGATTTCAAAAGGAAAAAGAACTCTTTAATTTAATTAAAAGGCGCAGAGCCAAACTCAGCGTGCTGACAAGAAAGAGAAATGAAATTCATGCGCTAATAGACGCTGGAGAGTCAAAATCCTCTATAGATGAGCATATGCAAAATTTCAATCATTATTTAGCGGAGTTTATGGACTTGCAATCTTCCGTTCAAAGACTGCTTAACGATGATGAAAAAGAAACCGATCATGGTGATTGGTATGAACCAAAACTAATTAGTTTTAAAGAGTTCTTGGATGAAATCGAAACTTGGATGAATGGTGATCCTGATCCACAGAAGAGCGACGTATGTTCAGCGTTTGAAGTTGAAGCAAAAGCGGCATCTCATGACCTTAGCGTTGAGCCGGATGACAGCGTCTCACAGACTGCGCAAGAAGCGATCGGAAAAGGCTCTGCAAGGCTATCTGGGTCCGCAGCTAATCCAGTCAGCAAGGCGGCCAGATCGGTGCCCGGTGCAATGAGTAAAGCTTCTAGTGCGAGGAGTAAGAGTTCCCGTGCGGCTTCAATGGCGGTGATGGAAGCGGAGATGGAAAGAGCCGCTCTGAAAGCAGAGGTGGATGCGCTGCAAGAAAAACACGCGCTAGAGTTGGAGGAACTTCAGTTAAAAGCAAGAAAAGAAGCATTGGCGTTGAGAACCGAGCTGGTGAAGGCGGATGCGAAGATGAAAATCTACAACTCCAAACAAGAGCAGGAAAGTCATGTTTCCAGCGTTGGTGTCGCAAAGCAGGATACATCAGTTTCTGCGACGTCAACTGAGTTCATACCCGCTGCTACAGCGCAAAAGGCTTCAAGAACTCAGAGACAATTGTCTCCTCTTGCACTTTTAACAATTCCTCAAGAGACACTTATTAGTAAAACATTAAAAGTGAAACCAGAAGAAACCCCAAGAGAAATGTCTTCTCAGGTTGATGGTCATAATAGTGCTTTAACAGAAATTATGAAGAAGCAAAATGAAATCACTGAGATGCTTGTAAAACAGCAAAGACTGTCACTCCTGCCCTCTGTAGAAATTCCTGTTTTTAGTGGAGATCCTTTGCATTTTAGGTCCTTTCTTAAAGCATTTGAGCAAGGAATAGAAGCTAAGACAGACAACATGCAGGACAGGCTTTATTATTTACAACAGTTTACCACAGGTCAGCCTAAATCTTTGGTGAGAAGTTGTATGCACATGAGCCCACAAACTGCTTATTTGGAAGCAAAAAGACAGCTTGAGTGGAACTTTGGTAACAGAGCAAAAATAACATCTGCATTTATAGACAAAGCTCTGAATTGGTCAGTTTTAAAATCTGATGATGCTACAGCTTTAAGAGCTTACACATTCTTTTTGAGAAGTTGTTTCAACACAATGGATGAAGCTGGTTTTATTGATGAGCTTGAAAACTCAACTAATATGAGAATTCTTGTTTCAAAGTTGCCTTTTAGGCTCCGTGAGAAATGGCGATTAATTGTGGTTGACATAGCAGAAAAGTACGATCGTAGAGCAAAGTTCAAAGATCTTCTAGATTTTTTGGAAAAACAAACAAAAGCTGCATTAGATCCTGTTTTTGGAGAAGGTCAAACTGCAAAAGAAAAGATGGCTTTAAAACCATCAAAGGTTCCTTTCAAAACTAAAAGCAGCAGTTTTGCCACTTCTGTTGCTGTAGTTTCCAAACAGAACAATGATAAACCGGTCCAGTTTAGCCATGAGATTGCAAAGGTGGTTCAAACTCGGTGTTTATTTTGTGATAGAAATCATTGCATGGAGAAATGTGACTCATTTAAGCAGAAAGCCAACAAAGAAAAGGTGGCATTCCTTAAAAGTAAAGGTGTATGCTTTGGTTGCTTACAGAAGGGGCATATGAGTAAGAACTGTCCACAACGTTTAATTTGTCTCACCTGTAATAAAAGTCACCCTACTGTTCTGCATATTGAACCAAACGAGCAGCAGTACCAAGCAGTTAAGGCTGAAGGTAAAGAGTCTCCAGTCTCAAATGCTCTTGTATCTTTGAATGTTGGAAGCTACACTGGGGCTGGGTCTAATGAGTGTGTTCTGTCAGTTGTCCCAGTAAAAGTAAAGTTGGAAAAGGGGACAAATGCCTTTCTAGATCCAGGCAGCTCTGCAACATTTTGTACAGAGACTTTGATGATGCAGTTAAATGCTTCTGGAAAAAAGGTGGAAATTATGCTAAAAACCATGGGTCAGGAAAAGCCTGTAAGTAGCTATAAAATATCTGGTTTGGAAGTAGCTGCTTTAAAAGAAAATGAGTACTTGAAGTTGCCTGATGTTTATACTCAACAGTCCATTCCTGTCACAAAAGAAAACATACCTAAAGAGGAAGACTTAAAAAATGGTCTTATCTAAAAGAAGTAGAGTTGACATCAATAGATGCTGGCATTGGGCTGCTCATTGGTGTAAATGCTCCCAAAGCATTGGAACCTTGGAAAATAGTTAACAGTGAAGGTAGTGGGCCTTATGCTGTGCTAACACGCCTTGGTTGGGTTGTTAATGGTCCACTCAATCAGGGTCGTGAAGAAAATGGACATGTTGCTGGATCTATTCAGGTCAATCGTATCTCTATAAGCAGTTTGGAAGAAATGTTGGTTTTGTAGAGCATAAGTGCAATGAGCAAACTGAAATGTCTGTAGAAGACAAACAGTTCATGGACATAATGTCAGAATCAGCAGTGCTTAAAAATGGCCATTATTACTTGAAGTTACCCTTTCGTAATCCTGAAGTAAAAATGCCCAACAACAAACAGTTGGCCCAGCAGAGGGCGCAATGTCTGTTAAAACGATTTCAGAAGGATAAGCTATTCTTTGAAGAGTACAAAGAATTTATGCATAATGTTGGTATGGAAGGGCATTCAGAAATTATTCCACAAGATCAAATAGAACATGAGGAAGGAAAGGTGTGGTATGTGCCTCATCATGGGGTCTACCACCCCCGTAAGAAAACATTGCGGGTTGTCTATGATTGTGCTGCAATGTTTGCTGGAACGTCACTGAACAAAGAGCTGTTACAGGGACCAGATTTGACTAGCACCTTGTTAGGTGTGCTCATTCGTTTTCGACAGGGTCCAATAGCCCTTATGACAGACATTAAAGGGATGTTCCACCAGGTTAGAGTTGCTCAGGAACATGTAAATTACCTACGTTTTCTCTGGTGGCCCCACGGTGACATCACAAAAGAGCTTGTTGAGCATAGAATGTTGGTCCATATTTTTGGTGCAGTCTCTTCCCCTAGTTGTGCCGCATATGCACTTTTAAAGACTGCTGATGACAACCAACATATGTACTCAGAAGAGGTTATTAATACAATCAGACATAGCTTCTATGTAGATGACTGTCTTAGGTCTGTCCAGACCGTTGATCAGGCCATTTCTCTTTATCAACAGCTCACAGAGGTGTGTGCCAAGGGGGGATTTAGGCTCAATAAATGGGTGTGTAGTGAGCGCTCTGTCCTCTCTAAGATCCCTGAGGAAAACAGAGCAACAGGTGTAAGGATGCTAGATCTTAGCCGGGACCAGCTTCCCACTGAAAGAGCCCTGGGAGTGCAATGGGATGTTGAACAGGATGCTTTCACCTTTAGCATTGTAAATAAGCAGAAACCACTAACAAGACGTGGCATTTTGTCCATTGTTAGCTCTATTTACGATCCTTTGGGTTTCTTAGCTCCAGTTATTCTTCCTGCTAAACAGATTCTTCAACATTTATGTAAACTGAATTGTGGCTGGGATGAGACAATTCCACCTGAAATGACAGAAATTTGGAAAAACTGGGTCAAAGATTTAGCCCTTCTGGACAACTTTAGTGTCAGAAGATGCATCACACCCAAAGGATTTGGGGAAATAAAAGGTTCCCAACTGCATCACTTTTGTGACGCCAGTGAAATTGGATTTGGTGTTGTATCTTATCTTAGGCTATCTAATGACAAACATGAAGTGTGTGTTTCCTTTATTATGGGTAAAGCAAGGGTAGCGCCATTAAAACAAATCACTATACCACGACTTGAACTTGCGGCCGCAGTTTTAGCTGTGCGTCTGGACAAAATGCTGTCATGTCAACTTGGACTCAATCTGAGTGAATCAATCTTCTGGTCTGACAGCACAACCGTCCTGCAGTACATTGCAAACACAACGGCAAGGTTTAAAACATATGTAGCCAACAGAGTATCCATCATTCGTGATTTTACAAAAGTTACTCAGTGGAAATACATCAGATCAAAGCTAAATCCAGCTGATGCAGCCTCTCGAGGCATGAAAGTTGGCTCTTTTTTAAAGACTTCCACCTGGATCGGTGGGCCAGAGTTCCTCACAAAGCCTGAAACCCAATGGCCAGCAGGAATTGAGGAATTACCTGTTCATTTAAAGACTGATCTAGAGGTCAAAGATGGGGTCCTGACGTGTGCAGCTGTCCTGGAAGAAGTGTGTCCCATCTCTAAACTGCTCATGTACTTTTCCAGTTGGACAAAGCTAAAAAGATGTGTAGCATGGATCCTGAAAATAAAAGAAAAGCTACGAACAAAGAAGTTACCAACTGCACATTGTGAAGGTCAAATGTGTGGTAAACAGGACAATAAAATGGATGCTCAGCTCACCACTGATGATCTATCCAAGGCTGAGGAAGCCATAGTGAGCATTGTGCAGAGAAAACATTATGGCAATGAAATGGCTGCCCTGAGTTCTGGTGCAGTGAAGAAGTCAAGTCATCTGTACAAACTTGATCCTATTGTTACTGATGGTGTGTTAAGAGTGGGCGGCAGACTAAGCAAAGCAGCATTACCTGAAGAAACAAAACATCCTGCAATATTGCCTAAAGGAAATCATGTTTCGAAGCTCATCCTTCAACACATCCATAAAAAGGTTGGACACAGAGGAAGAAATCACATGCTTTCTACCCTTCGTCGAAAGTACTGGATCCCTCATGCTAATTCAGCAGCCAGAAAGATCATCAGAGACTGCATGGTGTGTCAAAGACAACGACAAAAGCCAGGTGAGCAAAAAATGTCAGATCTTCCTATTGACAGAATCTCAACTGATCTTCCACCATTTACTTATGTTGGTGTTGATTACTTTGGACCAATAGAGGTGAAGAGAGGGAGAACTATTGTTAAAAGATATGGCGTTCTCTTCACTTGCCTAACCTGTCGTGCAGTTCACCTTGAGGTGGCACATTCTCTCGATACAGATTCCTGCATAAACGCTATCAGGAGATTCATCTGCCGCAGAGGTCAAGTCAAGGAAATCCGATCGGACAACGGAACCAACTTTGTCAGCTCAAATCGTGAGTTGAAACAAGCCCTGTTAGAGCTAAAGCAAAGCAAAATTCAAAATTGCTTAGCACAAGATGGCATAAAGTGGACTTTCAACCCTCCTTATGGAGCCCATCATGGGGGTGTATGGGAGCGCATGGTGCAGGAAATAAAAAGAGTACTGTGTTCCATCACAAACCAACAAGTATTAGATGATGAAGGCTTGCACACAGTTTTATGTGAAGTGGAGGCTATATTAAATGATCGCCCAATTACACCTTCTTCTGAAGATCCCAATGATTTAGAGGCTCTTACTCCAAATCATTTGCTCCAGTTAAAAGGTAAGCCTGTGCTTCCGCCAGGTTTGTTCAAACAGGAGGACCTGTACATGAGGAGACGTTGGAGGCAAACCCAATACATTGTGGATTTGTTTTGGAAACGGTGGGTGAAAGAATATCTCCCTATGTTGCAAGAACGACGGAAATGGAACAAGACTTGTAGGAACTTTGCCATTGATGATGTGGTGCTTGTGGTTGACGAGGCTGCACCAAGAAATTCTTGGCCTATTGGACGCATCACAGAAACCATGGCAGATTCAAGTGGATTAATTCGACGTGTTCGAGTCAAGACGAGAACAAATGAGCTGGAGAAGCCGATTAACAAGATATGTCTCCTGCTGGAGGCTGTGTAGAGACAACAAAAAGTGTTTGTCTCCAACTGAGCTAAGTTCTGGAACCTCTGGCTCTACATTTACACTGATACACATTTACTGACATGCTAAACATCTCATTCTGCTACATACATCTTTTTACACACACACAGACCATGAACGTGGACAAAAGAAAACCCTTAGCGTCATGGAACATTGACTGTTTTTTGTTTTTATATTGTCACTAAGAAGACATGTGGACTACAAAAAAAAAAAATGGACTATTGTATAAGTTGATGTTGAAATTAATTTTGTTCATTGAAAAGTATTGAAGCACTAAGTCTGCTAATATTAAATTTGCATTTGTTAATGGCCACTTCTGTAGATATTAGATGTAATTCTTACACATGAATTAGGGGCCGGGATGTCGTGGCCATTTATGTTAAATTTTGTGAATTATAATTTGTAACAATTTAGTTTCTTTTTTGGGGAGTTAGAATTTATTTAAGTTGATTTAGAATTGACATTTGTAAGAATTTTGTATTTGGAATTATTTAGAGTGAGACTATGTTAATTGTTAGACCCTCCCATTAATTTGAGTAATTAAAAACACCCGGTGTTGGGTGAGGCAAAGAAAAAATTGTTTGGTAAATGTCTGGTGTGTTGAGGGGAGGTTGTAAAATGATATTTTGATCACTTTTCTGGAGCATTTTGTTGGACACCTTTTTAAGATTAATTTTCATTTTGATTACGTTTTAAGACACATTAATTATATATATTTTTTGTCATTAGTTTTTCCAAGAAGTAAATTATATTTTTTACAAACATTGAAGAAGTGCGTTCAAATCACCGCCTCTTAACACCCACGGCCTTAGATGGATATTTTGATGTTTTTGAAAAATAGAAGGCCGTGACACTGAGAGCGTCAAATTTCTCTCTCTCTCACTCCCTTTCTCTTTCTTTCATTGAAAGCATGTAGCAGCTTACAATGTGTGTAAGCTGCTACATGCTTTTTAAACATAAAATAAAAGATATATATTTTGGAAGTAATTATGAGTTTTGGCATATCACAAACAATTTATAGTTAATAGCAAAATATCATATTTAGGCCAACATGTTCAACTAATCCTGGATCACTTTAATATGAGTTACAGTGACAGCTCAAAGTAATGTTCTTCTTGCTCTCAGTAAACATTCATTTGTTCATTGATGTCCCTTAGGAGGTTCTTTGGTTTGTGTGCAGAACTTTATTTACTTTTCATAAATCAGCTTTACTAAAAACACAAAGTACAAATATTTATTCACAATGTAAATAGTAATCAAAATCATCTCAGGGCTTATCCTGATAGCATTAAATAATTCATGTCATGATGTAAATGAAATGGGAATCTACAGTATTAAGTTGTCATTCATGGCCTCTCCCATTTAAAGCTGCAGCTCAAGATTAGTTTCACAAATCTGCAGATTAAACTCAAAAGATAATCTCTCAGCTCAAAAAGATCCTATCACAGAATTCCCTCATGTTCAAATATTTAATAATACAAGTTATTCAAAGAAAATAAATAAAATTCATACATTTTATTTAATATGAAACATTGAAAAAAAATTTCAACAACTGTTACTGCACAAAAAAGTAGATAAAGTTCAATATTCTCTATACTTTCATAAACATTGTCAAATAGAATGCTACTGTTTATGGTTCAGTGATCGATCATATACAGATCCATTCAAAATGTTAGAATATTACTGAAAAGCAATTTTATTTTAGGAATTTTATCACAAAGTGAAACATAATATGTAGAATACTTAGAGGTTTGACACCCTTTATTTCTGTTAATCTTAATTATTTTTCCACTAACATGTAATGAAAATGTAACATTTCAAATTTGCATATTGGATCAGACCAATAAAAAACAAATTTTTAAAATAGAAATATTTAACACAGTCAACTGGCTAAAATGTCTTATGTAAAACAAGAATTCAGGTATCAATTTATTTCATCATTTTGCACTTAAATCAAGGATTATTGTGATGTTATGGTGTCAACCTTGGTAATATTAAGCAAAGTCTGAGGATAGTTCCAGACTGTGATCCATGATTAGCAGATTAATCATTTCCAGTGACCCAAATAAACCCAGCAATCAATTTTGGTTTAAATTGCACACATGCTCCTGTTCCTTCTCTTCATGTATTTCTTTATTAATCTGCCATCCATGCCTGATCCAGTCAGGAAGAGGCTCTTGTGATTCTGTTAGAAGGGTTTTCATTTTGATAATGGTGGATTAGGTAACCAAAGGATCAGATGGGATGTTTCTGAGTGTTGTGCCCACTTTACAATGCTACAACAGAAAGTACATACACACATGCACTCCTATTGTAATTTGTAACTGCACGAGTGTGTGTGTGTGTGTGTGTGTGTGTGTGTGTGTGTGTGTGATCAGAAGTCTGCATATGAGGATGCATGTTCCATCTGTTTTTTTACCATTTATTTTTTTGCCAGCTCAGTGGCTAATATCTTGCACATTAGCTAATATCAGCTAATGTTATTGGTATTCATTCAAAACAAAACTTTATTATTATTATTACTGTTGTTATTATTATTATTATTATTACCAGTACTATTATTATTGTGGTTAGGTAGAGATTTAAAGCAAGCAGAGGAAGGATTAGATAGAAGTTTGGACAGAGCCAGCAAACTAAGCAAATTCAGTTAAGAACAAGCAGCATTTTTCAGTTCTGCCCTCATCCCTGGTCATGGATCTTACTGCTGTTCCATTACCGACCTCAACAAAATTAGGAGCTGCTGCTCCTTTTATCTCCCCCTCCCACTTCTCTTTCTTTGGGTGTTAGGTAACTAAATCAGAACAAAGCAGCAGGATCAAATAGTGTTAGCCTCGGTCCTGAATGCCTGTGCGGTTAGCTAGACTTTTTTTCAAGGGGTGGCCAAAGGGTATATGGACCCCAGAGGGGTCCATATACAAATGGACCGTTCCATGGAACAAAAGGGAGAAAAAATTGTTTCCTTTCGTTCAAAAATTAATTAATATAACTAGTTAGGTTATAATTCAAAGCTTTCATATGACATAGCCTACTTACATTTCAGTCATTATAAAACTTAATGGTTTTTCACATATTCTTACCACACATTTCAAGCAAGAGCTGGGAGATATAAAACATTACAGGGCAGCATGTCACTAAAACATATGTTAAAAGAATCTGTCTAAAACACAATCTATCAGCACTAGCATGGCTAATATAATAAATGAGGCACTATGCAGCGGTGCACAACCATTTTGTTTCTTTTTAGAAATGTATGACAAGTGCCGCCTCTCATTAGGAAGGTAACAGCGGTTACTGCTGAGCGGTAAAATGTTGTAAATACCTGCAAAACTCCTCGACCGTGGACTGTAAAGCCACGGATGTGTTTTGGATCAAGCAGGACCCACATGTCAGTTTAACCAATGAACAGCGTCTGGCATCGGGCTGCCTTCAGGGACAGTCGGAAATGACAGTTTTCCTGGCAAATCTTTGCCGATCTCATAAGTATTATATTTTAAAATTACCATTTCCAGTGGGGTGGCAGTAGGGGTGGCAAGGGCTCTGTTGGGGGTGACAAGTGCCACCCCGGCCACCCCTCTGGCTCTGCCACTGATCCCATGTCAAGAAGTGGAGACACTTCTTTAGGCCTGCCCTAGAAAGTGAGCAAGCACCTTTTCGGACCACCTGCAATTTGCTTATCACTGAGATGTTGGAATTGAAGACACCATTATACACCAACTTCAACAAACACATAGACAGACTTGGCTGTCATTTAATTCTACATTTAATGTAAGTCTCCAATAATAAAATAAAACAAGTAATACTAAAAAGTACCAATATACATATGTATAATGAAAATTATACTTCCTTAATCGGAGTTTAGTATCCTTATGGCATGAGGGATGAAGCTGTTGTGGAATCTATTTGTGCTGAACCTTTTCCCAGAGGGCAGCAGGGAGAACAAACCATGCAGAGGGTGGAAATGTCTTTTATAATTGTCTGGGCCCTGGATAGACAGTGACTGTGAGCAGTGTGAAAGATGGAAAGGACTGATCCTGATGATTCTCTCAGCTGTCCTCTCCACTCTCTCTTCACTTTGCCAGTCAGAGGCATTAGATTCTGCAAACCAGACAGAGATGCTTCTGGTCAGTATACTCTTTATTGTTCCTGTGGAGGGAGGAGTTTTGATCCTCTCATCAGACGGAAAAGTGCCGATGTTGCTGAGCTTTCTTCACCAGAGCAGAGGTTTGAAGGGACCAGCTCAAAGTGTCAGTGATTTGTATCCCCAGGAATCTATTGTTCCCGACTGGGACCAGTTCAAGGTCCAGGTCATGAAATCAACAACAATTTCTTTTGTTTTATTGACAATACATCATCATCTGGAGAAATCAGGGAGCACTGTCAGGATTTTGAATGGCTTCAGTCACTTTATCACAATTCAGTCTGACTTACTTTGCCAGAAACTTCAGAACACAGAAGTAGAGGCTTAACAATTGCCTGAATCAATGACTACCTGACAGATTGATTAAAATTCCGATGAAGTCATTCATTGTTTGCAACAAGATACCTCAGATATTAATCTATAAATTTGTGGTGGAGAGTGTAATATTATCTGCCATCATCTGTTGAGATAGCAGCATCAGAGCCCAGGAGCAAAAACAAGCCAACCAGCTGATGAAGAAATCTGGTTCTGTTCCATAAACTGGTCTGGAAAATCTGGAGATGAAGCAGGTTTGCAAAAAATGACTCTTCATTAAGTGAGGAACAGTGCAGACAACCTCTTCATGATAATTCAACAAAAAATATCTTCAGTCACAGGCTTTCTCAGAATCACAGGATCTGATTTCCTCTTGAGTTTAAAAAATCACTTTTCAATGTAACTGAATTAGAACCAACTTGAAGTTTTAATCATAAGAAACTTTGGTTTTCAGAGGAGGGAAGGTCATTCACAGCAACATTCCACATTGGCAAATGCATAAATGCCCACATCTGCCCATGACGTCAAGCAAATTATGGCGAGGTCTTCTGTTGGCCCTTTGTCTCTCTCCTCACTACGGTGGTGGTGTTGTGGGGAGTGACATGCCAGGACAGGACAAGTAAAACAATAAAATAATGTAACAATCATTTATATGAACTGGGGCCAGTGTTCCACATGTTTACATATGTTTTTGCATCACCTCTACTGGTACCAACCGAGCTGGTGCCAACCCAGAAAAATTAAAATCATTTATTTTAGAAGAATGATTTTATAAAGCTGTTTTCCTTTTCTATTTGATCACAAACTAAAGAAGAAGAAGAAAGAAACAAAAACAGATGTCTGAGAGTAAGTATGTGTGTTTTGTTTCTATCCTTTGTTATACAGCCGAACAAATCCAGTCTCTAAGTGGAACTCATTAATATTAGTAATGCCAGGTCCATTGTCTTGATTGCCTGACCTGAAGCTCCTGCAGCTCACAGTGTGAGACACATGTTCACTCACACAATAACAGAGAAAAGGTCCTGTTCCACTGCTGCAATTACCAAAATTGCTTTCCAGCCTT